CCAAAAAAAGAGAAAAGAGAAAAATTATATCCTGTACAAAACTATCCTGTATTCAATAAAGTTTATTGTCCAATCTTGGCTTTGGAGCATTCACAATACAACGGTAATATAAGCCTTAGCAAGAAAATGAGCACATCCACAAAATAGTCCATGTCACATCTGAAATACAAAAATTGAAATATTTTTATAAAACAATTCAGACACAAGATTGATAGATGGATACAATCTTTTATTCTTTTTTTTTTTTTTTGTACCTTTCCATTTATTCCAGAAAAACTTTCTATAAAAAAATCATTGCTTCTTTTGGAATAAATCTTTAAAATCATTTCTTTTAAAATGCATCTTTTGTTTGTACAACACTAGTTAAATATATTATTGGTATTCTGCAAATGAATCACACCAGAGAACATTCACAGTATGTGTATCCTGGCTGCTTGGATCTATTTTTCCTGCTGTAGGACAAGCATGATGCTGAGGATGAAAGAAGGCAATGAAGAAACCAGAAAGTGGGTTTCATAGTATTTGTGCCTAGGCATGGCTAGCGGGGAATGCTAAGGGGACATCCAAAGGCATTTCTTACAAGACTCAAGCGTACAGACAGGACAGCGGTGCGGCACAGCTGGAGCAGCACGGTCAGGCAGAGATCCCCAGCTTTTGGCAGGTGAGATCACGTCGCTTTTAACCTCAGGTATTTCAGGATCAAGACCCGATGGCCCTTGCAGGACCCGCTCAGCCATCGCTGGCTCCGCGCTCTGAGCAAACCCGGGCTTGTGTGGCTGCAGACGCCAGATTTATGCTGGTGAAAGCAGTTTGGCCAGAAAGGCCGGGCAGGCTCCCACCCCCAGGTCCGGTCCCTTCCCCATGCCCTGGGACACACACACTGAACCTTTTACATCGCTCGGTCCAGCGGGTCAGGCTGTTTCTCTAATATTTTCCCACCTGCCCGTTCCTAGCCTGCTCCTGGGAGCTCTGGGCTCCCATTTTATCCTAGCCTAATTTCTGACTGAAGGTAAGTCCTAAGAAAAAAACAGACAAAACATTTGAGAAGCTTGGGAAAATGGCCTTCCAATTATTTTTTTTTTCATCATGTGTAAGGGAGAGGAAAAAACCCACTTATTTTGTTCTTAGTCTCCAAGATACAATGTAGTTTTGTTATTTAAAATCTTAACATAGATCTGGCAATGGGCTGGGCCAGGAAAGGCGTGTGCATGTGTGTATGGAGAGGGTGAAATTAAATAGCTCTGCCTCTAAGTTTTATTGTTGTCCCATAGCACCTTTTTTTTTACTTTACACATTATTTACTTACATTTCTTTAACTAGCTATCAGCTGGAGAGACGAAAGAATACAGCCTTTCCTGAGGGCACAGCCAAAACTCCATTTTCCACCAGAACTGGTAAAAAAAATATTGCAAGAAAAATGTCTGGAAGACAAAGCAACAGTTTCCGTTTGTCAAAACTCCCCATCTGCGAGGAGTGCCAGCTACTCCGCAAGCGGTGGATGGGAGAACCCACAAAATGAAAAAAATGCCGGAGAGCCACAGACATTCCCAGCATTTTCATTAGCGCTACTTTAAAAATCCAACTTGGGAGCCGGCTGGCGCTCCAAAAGCTGGGGAAAGCCTGCGCGGGGATGAGCTGCCGGAGCAGGCGGGGAGCGATGCCATCGGCAGCGGGAGCCCTGCTGCAGATTTCCTCCCCTTGCGTGCAGGGAGGAGCAGGGCACCGCTCTGCCCAGGGCTTTTATAAACTGGGGCATCCGAGGGATCTTGGTCCTCATAAACCCAGCCAGACTCCGCGGTCCTCAGGAGGACTGTAACTCTATCCAGGAGATGGAGAAGGGGGATTTGGCTCTGGGCTCTAATCGCTGCCAACCTGCAACTCCTTTTCTTTGCAGCCGGGAAGGCTTTGGCAGGCAGCGTGCCGT